TATTATTATTATTATCATCGTTACAACGCATTTCAAAGTATGCGCTACAAAATTATTTCGGACTATATTAATCTGACGCGAAATGTTACAAAGCACGAACTCGATCCATTGTGCAAGCCGTACAGATAAAGTTTCGTTGACGTTCAAAATAATTTTCCTTTTATTATACTTGCATTACATTTCCGTTGCTGCGTCGTACAAAAATCTCGCGTCTACGTCGCGAATCGCGATATTATTCGCACAGAGCAACTGCTTTTCTAGTCGGTAATTTTTATTCTTTCGCTTTTGAAACGTGTTTGCGATATAAAACGAGGCCGAGGTTTTCGACCTTCCGCCAACCACAACCATAGAAATTCACAGAAGTTTTCGGCCACGTAATACCTAAAATTTTAGGAATTCTGCGACTTCTCTAGAGTCGTCTCTTCCTTTAAAAATATCGTGGCTTCGTAAATGTGCAACGGACAAACAGCAAGTCTTCCGTGAAGAATCTCCGAGAAGATAATACATATACCTATGTATCTTATTTGTATATATGTGTATAGATAAAACGGAAATAACCTACGTTTTAAGAACAAACGTATTTTTGTCTTCACCGTATGACCGTGCACAAGACACAGGCAAAACGACGAATCGGACCGTCCGTTATAATAAATACTACAGAATCTAGACATTTTCTCGTGCAAAAATAACGCTATACTGGTCAAAGTAGAGAGTCTGATCGAGTTTGAATTATTTAGGACCATCGGATTATGGTGGAAATGTTTTAAAACTTAAGATACTATAATTAATAACATGGATATATCAAGATAAATACGATAGTGTTACAATTTTCATTCAAATCAAACCTTTTGTCTCTATAAACGTCTATACGCTATACTCTATACGCAAAACACATACGTACCGACTTTCATGCGATTTGGTTATTATTTTCTGTAAGGGAAAATATTTGTTGCGCGTTTAGTTAGCTCTTTTGAGGGATTTACTTTTTCTGTATTTATTAGAGAGAGATTTAATATTACGAAGAATCTCTGCGTAAATTTCGAATATGCCAACGATTTCTAACATATATAAATAACCGCACGACATCTCTTTCGAATTACTGATCGAAACTTGACAAATTTTCTCGACATGCGACGAAACCAATCTTATGGAGTCAGGCGAAATCAGCACCTGATTTCGACGGAGTAATTCTCGTCCGACGGTTTTCCTTCGTTTACCAACGCAAGTAGATTCAAGTTCAATTAACGGCAAACCGCGACTACGATCCACACCGCGAACGCAGTGCGAAAAGAGCGAACGAACGAGTGCACGAGCAAACTAACGAGAATTAAAGACTAATTGCGAGCGCTAACCCACCTGAGAAATGTCTCGAATAAATGAATCGTTTTCTAATTATTTTTGCCTATGGCCGGCTCCGCCATTTACTCTCTCGATTCCAGCGGGCAACCGCTTCTCTTTGTCCTGTGGCACGGATATCCCCTTTTTATTCTCTCTTTGCAGTCTTGTCTTCCTTCTTCTTCTCGAATCCCCTTCTTTAACACCGTCGACATTTTATAGGTACGATATCTTTTACCGTGGAACGTACATTATCCTCCATAGGTATATGGACATTTTGGTCGATTTTTATCAATAACACTTTACTAAGGACTACTACAAATTTACACGAACACAGAGTAATATTCAACGAGAAAAATTAACCTAACCCTTTATAATTAACTAATATATAGTTATAGTAATTATAATTAACTCGTACAAACCTTTATATCAATTCAAAACCTAAACTCAATTCGAAAGATCCTCTTCTGTCTTATCTGTAACGTGACCAGATGAACCGAGTTTAATGAACTTTAAAAGTTAAAAAGATCTTGCATTAAGGCGCCGGTCTTTTTATTCCAGACACTGCTTCCGATAAATTTCTTGTACTTTCTATATATATTTTCAGACACGTTTCATATTTTACCAACATTTAATAAGTTTTACCATATGCCGTGTCCTATTACGGTGTTAATGATATCTTAAAATGTTTTGTACATGTAAGAGTGTTCTAATACTTTAGTGACCCGCTGCGTGTTTCAGCTTACTTCTTTAGACACGTGTATACGGTATAAATACGAGAGGAGGAGTTACTTAAACGCTGCACCTTCGGATAGAAAGAGAGAGCGAAAAAGCTTCGTCTTAACAAAGAACATCCGTTGTCGTGATTATCGAATAAAAGAGCTGCTAGTTCATAGATAACTGCAGGCAACGAACGAAATTAATTAACGACGCGTGTATCTAAGACACGATACAACCAGCGACTTAGTCTGTGCGTTACACACGTACTCTAGGAGCAACAACGCCACCAGCAACACGGACTGGCCAACGTTATCGGTGTTGTTACCTAATTTCGTGGCGTACGCCGCGTTATACCTGCGTCAGGCTACTTCCTTCGGTATAAATTTTCCTTTAAGTCGTTATAAACTAGCCACAGTGATTGCTTCGTTATCGTGAAGAGATTATACCCCACGGCATTTCTTTTCTTACCTTCCAGTCATCCGATTGTCCTTATTCCGGTTCCTTGTTTAATACCTCTTTTCTTCCACTTCCTATTCTTCTTTTTTCTCCTTCCTCTTACTCTTTTCCTCTATCTCTTACGATCTTGTTTATATCGTACAACATCGCGTTTGTTGCAATTGAACGAATTTATTAGGGAAATTAATAGAACGCTGTTTTACTTCTGTTTAGTGTATTTAGTAATACAAAGTATTTTTCGATAGGATGTCATTTATATCGAAGAGACAAATCAATCGTGTAAAATAGAATTCTGAATATAAAAATAAAGGCAGGGGATTAGAAATAAAAGTCAAAGTAGCAGCCATTTTCCAATAACTTGAGCAAACTGACAAAAATCAATTCAAAGTCAATTAAAATCAAATCATTTTTCCGTTTCTAAAGTAAAGCAATATTTAGTAAGCATTTAGAGATATTTAAAATTTTGTTTTATATAAGTTTGATCCCTTTTAAAAACAAAAATTTGCTAATTAATCTGCAAATTTTACTTCCACAAGATTTATACACCTGCAAGGTACTTGGAACGATTAAAGTTGTGTATCATCTTTCCTCAAAAGTTTTTTGACAGCAAATTTTATTACGCTCTTAAATGTACAAAATATATTTGTTACTTGCCTCCTGTATTTCAAAATCTTCATTACGTTCGTATGTGTTTTTCATTTATAGATTCATACGTTTTAGATGAACGTCGAATTATTAAAAATGTCTATTTTTGAACATCGAAAAGCGATTGAAGCGTTGCGGAATGATTCGAACATTGAAGTAGGACACATATGGTAGGCAGTAGAGGCGTGGTCTGGTTTTCCCGAAATTAGGAACAGGTGCAATATTTCAATATTGAATGCATGCGTTTCTCACGCTACATGATCACGCGCAAAATCGCGCGTTTGATGTTTTGTATATTAGATGAAAAATGGTTTTCGTCTTTCTATACTTTTCTATAAATTGTATAAGAACTCTGTCCAGATAATTCCCTTTTAATCCGAAAAATACAATTTTGATGAAATTGGCTGAATTTTAGATGGATGAACAGTTCTTTTTCAGCCTTACGGTCTTAAAGTAGGACTTGCATTACAATTTCTAAAAACCTCTCGATATTGTATATTACTTATTATTATAAACATCTACAGTTATTATCAGCAACAGTCTTTCCAAGTTCTACCTTCGTCCTTGCTTCTTGACTCTCTTTCTTTTCTGCAACTGTGGCTGATTTTTAATACCAATAATACTAATAAAAAGATTGGAACTCACGTGCAAATAGATTTATAACGTATCGCAGATGATAACCAACAGTTATCGTTGATTAATATCGAATGACTATGTATTTACTTTCTTAAGAAACATTCATATAATAAGCGAAATGTCCTCGTCTTCGAATTAAGCGATAACGAGAATAATATATGGTCTTGATAGAGGTATCAGCTGCGTTCCAAGTCAAATAATTTGATAAGCATTATGCACCAGTATCGAAACAGCTTATGGCATTAAATTTTTCACAGTCTCAAAATACGCAATTGATGAACACGATTATTTAAATTTAGTTTCTCTCTGCTATCTTTATCTCAATTTTAAACAATTTGCATGGCTGATGAATAGTTAAGCAAACGTGGCAATCATTATTCTTCTAGCTAATTAAAATAGCGATTGAATTTAATAGAATCATGGGGAAATCATAAAAAATTTCAACCAACCATATCATCCAAATTTGAAGCGTCAAGCTGTTATATACAATTTTAATACAAATAACTTGATTCGAAATTTTGCAGTATAGTGTTTATATTTAGAAGTCTAATTTTTCTTTTTTGGCTTTGATAATCAGATTATACATTTTAAGATGAAGGTAAATGATCGTTTATAAATAAACAATTTAATTTGCGATTTATCATTTATTATACCTATTATTGATATTAGAGAACATCTAGGACAGACAGGTATACCGCAATAATGCTGAAATATTAATTAACATGTCAAATTAGAAATACTTTTGACTGATTGACATTAATACATTAACAATAAACTGTCGATTCCGGTTATTACTGAAATTGGCAGGTACTTATTGTACCGATAGAAAAGTGATTGTGCACGATGAGTGCAATAGATAGATTTCCCAATTATATTATTATATAATCAATGATTATAATTCACTAAATATAAACTAATATATACAATGTTTATTTAAGATTATTATAATTATGTACAGATTATGTAGAAGTAAAGATACATATCGGTCTACCATCAATTTGATATTTCCGTTTCTTCCGTTTCTTAGATAAGACAATCGATTTACGTGTAATGCTTATCGTTAGTTCCGTAATACTTAATGTAATGCGTATAAAATTAACGCAGCCTCGATCGGATTAGTACCTCGGATATCTCTTATTGCAGGAATTACCTGAATACTAGCGATATCTTTTTCGAATAATAGACAACCAAGGAAACATAATATTGGATATTTTAGATATTTCATACATTTTTACATCTTACTTATATTCTGCACATTTGTTCATCTCTAAATTGCCCATAAATTCGTGAAAACGCCATTACTTTTCTTACTGCAACGAACCAAGGAACAGATTTCTTATAACAGGATCGATCCGTTCAAAATTTGTCTCCCAAATACCCGCGTCTAGCATATACGAAGCGTCTACGGATCCTGTGAAACGCGCAGCCGACGAAACGCGTCGGGCTTATAAAAATTCATGGGAAGGATAATTCAGGGATCGAGAGGCAATTTTACGGGTTCATATTCGTGGGCAAAAAGTCGCCGTTGCTGCGGGGTTGAATCGGTGAGGCACGCGTTGTGAATCGAGGCGGTGATCGAGCGAAATTCTCATTAACGCACCGTTGCAAGCCGCACACTCTCGCCGTCCCTACATTCCCCATAAGACGGAGTACAAGCGGTCGAGACGGCCACACGATATTGCCACGCCGCGCGGAGGACACGGAATTCCTTGTACCGGAGATGTTCCATCGCATTAATTAGGAGGGAACACGGGACGAATGCGAGCGACATTCGCCACTTTTCCACCGGCGTGACCGGTGATCATAACGCGACACCACTATTGTACGTCGTCCCTTCGTGCACGCTACAGCACACGCTCGGATGCAACCGATGTAGCAGACCGTGCTTTATTACAAGACCACGTATAGTTGTATACAGTATAGAGTAACTTCGCCGCTTCGATTACATGAGCCGAATCATGCAATTGAAGTCGACCTCGTATTCCGTTCACTCGAGTATCGGGGACTAAACAAGTCAATTTTCAAAGTATCACGTATAGCGAAAAAGAGGCTAGAAAACTGTGATTTTGATACAGCGCATAAACCAAGATTGATAGTTTTATATTTGGTCGGTCGATATTGTGGTGATAATTTTAAAAAGGATGTCGTAAACTGTAAGTATTTCACGCTATGAATATATTCAATAATTATACTAGAAATGCTACAATTATACGCGAACGATTGTACGGAATCGTGCATATATATCCAAGTACAAATAGATGAGATAAAGATAAGGAAATACGTTTCTCGACTTCTTCGCGGTTTTACTCGTGATCTATTTCGTTTCTACTTCGATTTTCCAGAATTGTTGCATTCTTATGTTTTTCGAGCTGCCCATTTGTCTCGTAAATTAAACGCTTGATGCACACGTACCCTGATTTATATAAACAGTGTAGTTTTGTGATACTGTAGTGTTATAAAGATGTAAGTTTATTCTCATTATTGGAAAGAAGATGAAAACGGAAAAGGTAAGGTCGAATTTTGTATTCGAAGTCTGCCATTTTTAGATTCGTAACGTTACTGGCCAGATTTCTTTTCTCTTTGCGTGTCTGTTATCACACTTGTTTCGATTACTCGTTTCAAAGCCAAATAACAAATGAGTATAAATTAAAATCAATCTTTTCTCTGCTTTAGTACTTCAAAGAATGCGAATTAGAACCGTAGATTTAAAAAACGAAATAATCGTTTATGAATTATTCCGACACGTAGAATTCGTATATCCAAATTTTGTTCAACCGTCCCTGTACATTATTGGAGAAACCTTGGATCGATAACTGTTTCGTTCGTATAGAGGAAACATTTATTTAATTTAATTTTGTAAAAAGATTTGTAGCAGTGACAATCAGTTAGTGACATTCTGTGTATGAATTCTATTCGATATGACCGCAATATGTGTATTGCAGATACGACAACATTTTTATTTCTGTTTCATATTCCTATGGAGGTCTCACAAACAATCTCTGTCGTTTCGCTGCGTAACGTATTTGTTACCAACAATCCTTTTGGCATAACTTTAGAGTAAATTAATAACAAGTAACGAATAACTATCATTTTTCCCAAATTGGCAAGTTATCGCTAAACCCTATATCGAGATAATTTTATTACACTTTGCGAATTCTTTAAATTTTCACAACATTTGTTATTTCCGCGATATTTCCTGGCAAATATTTGTATATATTGTATATTAATATAAGTATATGAATATGTCTCTCGATTGAAATAATCTTCTCTACTTTAAATGCCTTAACTTAACTAATGCCTTCCGCATTGTAGCGTCCCATTGTGTACGAAATATATGCCACTATTAAATCTAACAACAGGGACGTCATTAATATTTCTAAGATTGAACATTCTATCAATGACTTGTCAACCATGTATCATACAAAAAAGATTCATCATAATTTTTCATTCAAATTGTAAGATATGACAACATAGTATAAAGAACAAGTTGACCTTTATTAAGGCATTATAAATCCAAGTACTGTATTTTCAACATCTTTTATCGTATACAACGTTATTAAATCGAGACCAATTAGATGACACATCCCAATTATGGAATAATTACGGATTCTGGAAAAAATAAGTTGACATCGGAACGCATATCGAATTTTGCACACGCTCGGTATTCCAGTGGAATTGCCGATACATTCCCTGTTTGAAATGCAAAGAACGAAACATCAAAACGAACCGATGAGTTCTTTTCAGGTAAAAATTGCAAATTCATTAATATCGTTGGTACGCGTTAGCGTGTTCACATGGACATAGAAATTAAAACGTTGCTTTGAAACAGCTAGCGAAATGCTATAACACACGCACCTCGTTGTAGTTGATGCTACCCACTGCGGCTGTTCGCTAGCATTAATTTAAAAGTTTCAACGAAAACAGAGTTCCCAAGTTTTACAGCGAGTATTGGAAAATATGAAATCGGCCGAAGCGTTAATATATCGTAGCTCTTCGTTCTCGCCCGAAAAATCTGCCGGGTTCCTTGAAACTTCCAGTCTGACTTTTATCTGATGGAAGCTCTTAATTCGTTTCACATCAGACAAAAGCGAATGAAAGAGAATACAACAAAGATAATCGATGAACAGACAGCGGAGATTTATGCGAATTGATATTTCTACGAATACGATTAAGAAAACGCAACTTGCCTAAAAATGAAAAAATGAAATTCCACGAAACAAAGAGCAGAGAAAATTGATGAAACTATATCAGATAAGTTTCGATCGAACCTTCGCTAAAATTTCCAAAATTTCGAAAAGTGGAATTGGCTACTTCGACCTGTGTATGACTCGAATATTTCGAAAGTTCTATGTTTTAAATATTTTTGCAAATTATTATAATTAATTATAAGTTTTTGGAAGTTACATGCATTCTGTGTATTTTTGCAAGTTTCACAGAAACGCATAAAAATCCTCACTCTATTTGTAAAACTTTTCTAACAGAAAAAAAACCGAGTAGAGAAGAGAGCGTTCTCGAACGCTTGGATCGGGTGATTAACATTCGCGTTAACGTGACTAGAATCGTCTAAAAAGTAGATGAATTCGTTAAAATCATTAAATGTAATCCTCTTGCGGTTCGTTTCTATACGGTTGCGAGATCTTGATGGTCGCCATGGACGAATTGCCGTTACCTGCACCTTTCTCCACAGCTGGTCCCCACGTCTTCTTTGGTCGAAACAAACTCCAGTCCCTCTGCGGACAATTAAAACGAAAGTTAAATTCTTTGAACAATCGCTAGCGCCGGGCTTTATGCAAACAATTCGAGTTGGCATTCTCCGAGCTCGCCGTTTCAACTGCACGCTGCTAGCCATTGTTAGCCAAATAAAAGATTCCACTGATGTTATCCAAGGGCCGTATGTTTTTTGTAAACGTTTAATCTGATCTCTTAAAAGCATTCGAATGTTTCTTAAAACATACTGCTGGTAGAATAATAATTTAATAAGTATTTAATATTAAGAGTATGTTTTAAGAGTGTTATTTGAATACTTTCTCTCGCAAAAACTAAATAATAGCATATCTGTATATATATCATTAAATGATGATGATGATTTTAATCATCCACTTTGAAGAAGATAATTTCAAGAGCTATAGCAATCAAACTTACGCTTCCTTAGATAACGATTTTGATTATCTCAAAAATCGCAACGATAGCACCGTATCTAAAAGATGTTCTAAAGAAACAAGTGATATTCAGATTTGTCGTAAAATCATCTTGCATTTCGCGTGTAAAGATTTTCAATTGCGATACGAAATATAATTTCATTAAAATACTTGCCGAAAGTAAGAAAATAATGTTTTGTGGCGAGTAAGAGTTATGAATAAGATGTCGCGTCTATTAAAAAAGTTTGACCAAGTTGTTGATTAAGTTCAAAGCATTAACATCTAACCGTAGCGGTCGCTGCATCGCAAAAGGAGAGACATCGCAGAGATTTTCTGACTGGCACGCGGGCTCATATCTTCCCGAAGCTGGCGAGTAGTTTGAAACTGTGCGGAGAGTCGAAAACAAGAGAAAAGGAGATAAGAGTAATAGTAAATTTATCGAGTAAAACAAAGCGGAAGCGGTCAAGAAGAGGTCAGAAGTACGGCTGAAATAGGTTCGATCCGTACGATGGAGCACGGAACGAAACTTTTCGTTTCAAAGTACGATTACCTACGTACCGTGGAAAAACTTGTATTAAGACATTTCAAAGTTGGTGAGATTTTACGGTAAAGGGAAAGCAACTTTTAAATCGACGCATACCTGCTGCAGGGCTTAACCACAGTTGAACAGTACGTGACTCTTAAAAAATTTGCAATTCGTTCACCTTTGAATTATGGCCACGATATCGCCAAACACTATACAATTATCGTTCGTTGGCACATTTTGTCCTGGATATTTACAGTGTCTAACACCGATCACGGCGTTTCTAAACACACTGTAATTCTCGTGCAATTACGTAATTACGAAGGGCATCGAAATAATTCGAAAAGTGTGGTTACTCGAATTTATGAATTCATAAACAAACTAGAAAGAAATTCGCTTGCATAATTCGATATACAAATAGCTTAATAGAAACGCTTTTACCCCTATCAAAGTAAATAAGGAGATATTAATTAGAATCCATAATATGTTCTCATCGTTACGAAGAAACGAAGAATCAGATGGAAGAAATAAAACTGCAGGTTGATATTTCATCGATTTAACGATTTTTAAATATCTGTCTTGACTACAACGTAATATCAGTACGAAGCATTATAATTACATTATTCGATGAAAACGGATATAAGTTTATGACTACATTATCGCAATGGATTCACGTTTTGGAGAAAAGAGAATTACGTGTAATATTTAAAGTTAGAAATTATAACATATTCTGTAATTTTTATCATAAATACAGTTAGTAACATATTTTATACGAATTTTATTTCAGATATCAAGGAAATATACCTTTTCCTCCGCGTTTTTATTATTTCATAAAGTTAAACATAAATTGTTCGTTTAAAAACCGTCAAATTAAAACTCGATAATAGACGAGCAAGGATTATGCCATAAACTTTATTTAATTTCAATCAGAATAGCTTTAAATGAAATATATAAAATTGAGGAAATGATAACGTGTGATATTTCTGATTGAGCATGGTACAGATCTAGCGTATCTGTTAATGAGTAAAAGAAGTAATACACTCGCACAATTACTTCCTATATCAATTACCGGAGAAGATGAACGGGAAACTAATATCGCGGATAACTTTCAGTAGTTATTGCTAATACATATGAACTTCCGATACCAGCTAGTATCCTATATTGATTTTCTTTCAACGTTCCGCGAATATTCCGGTTTGTTTGCATTGCACTGAAAAAGTTGGTTCCGCTGAAACAAGAAATTTAATCTGCTATATTCCCACATCAGATTTTGATCGTTTTATTGCGATCTTCGTGAATAAAAGAAATGCTCAAAGATATCCTTGTCACGTGTTCGATCAGATGCTTTGGCAAGTAATTTTTAAATGAAACCTTGACCACGTTCGATATTTAATAATGCTTACGACAAAAAATTAGAACTCCGATAAAAAGTGACCACAGTTATTATAAGTTAATTAACTTTGACACGTTATCGCATTTATTACAAGGAGACTGCGGATTTTTATGTAGATGCATATCTTTGAGAATATAATCGAAGGAGTAGTTACTAAAGCCTCTATAGAAAATTGTTTTACTTACCAAATATACATTATAGAAAACATTACACTTTGGATATTATTTTATGTATTTCTTCAAATTATGTGCAATTTTGTGTGTAATATTGCATCTTCAAATTGTCTAACAATAATCGATTCAGATATTGTATTTTTGTCATCGAGTGTCATGCAGTTTATTAACGTTGATGAATTTACTGTTGATAAATGTGAAACGTAACGCGAAATCGTTTCAAATTGATTATTCGATGAAAATTTACCGCTTTTGAAGGCAGATGATGTCTTTAACGAGCGACGGTATATATCTTATTTAGTTATTACGACCTCGGTTTGCTTCGATTTTCATTTATCTAATTTGGGGATAATATTCTTTGGTAAAATTTTGATTTCGCTAAAGATTGGAAACTGTAAAAATTCGAAAGAAATATATCGCAATTCTGAAAAGTTTGTATTAGTTTCAGTTCGAAGTACACATCCATTCAAGACCTTCTCCTTCCCTTGTAAAATATTGAATCAGTATACTATCTTGGCCTTTAAGTAAACCGGATACCACAGTAAATTGGAAGAAAAAATACTGGAAACCGATAAGCCCTGCACTGCTTTAATCTTCAAATTTACGCAGAAACTTGTACACTCTTGTAATACCATGATTCTATATAAACTCAACCATAAAACATCTCTTCTAAGAAATACTAAACAAAAGAATTTAATCCTCGAACAAACGTTTGGTATTTTATCTTTATCATACAAAGTATTAATTTTTTCCAAATGTTATTTTTTTAATACAAAATTAAGTAGAAAGAAATAGGTCATTCCTGCGCTATTCCAAACCTCAAGTAAAAGTAATACCAGGGCTCCTGCAGAAAAAAAAAATTGGAAGAACACTTAAAGTTATCGATCTTCTCGCTACAATAACTCTATAACTGATCATAAAAAATTCTTGAAGATAGCACTATGATACCGTTCTCTTCTCTGTCAACAAGAACAAAATGTTTTACAAAATTACAAGGATCGAAACGACGAGACTTTCTCGAAGAGTCACCTTTTATGTCGCTGTTCGATTTTCTTCCTATAACATGGTTAACACAATTTTCGTTAGCATTGAAACTAGTATATTATAAGCATAGCTTTGTAGAGAGCCTACATAGGAACTTCAAAAAAGAAAAAAAAACATCGTTAAATTGGATTATTGATAACTATTTCTCTGGTGAACGTTTCTCTTTGTAGTGTTACGATGTTGAAATATCAGTCCTGAGTCAAATGGATTTATAACTCGATTATAAATGTGCTGTTATAAAAATGCAGAATTGTTCGAGTATGATTGAGAAATATAACGGTATGTGTTCGTTTTTGCCAAAATTTGAGATATATATTAGGAGGGTGTGATGCGTAAGGAGGTAGCACGCGAAATCTCTCCGTCAAACGGTTCTTACGATACGACACGTTTTCGAAAAGTTTCCGAGTCCTTCGTCCGAAATCAGGGGTTTCTGCTATGTAAAGATATAGGACACTCTGTTCAAAATGTGCTAACGGTAACGCTTTTATTGCCGTCTCGAGACGCGAATGTTCTCAAAAACCCTTAAACGCGATCGAGACCGTTTGGCCAACCTGGAGTAAAGCCTTGATGTAGGATTATTATAGTTAGAATCACCGTAAACTCTAAACAGCAGGAGGTGGCGGTGCTTCAGCCAGTAGCGTGTCGTAAAAACAAGCGAGCAGTTTGCATAATAATGTCTAGTTTGTTGAGCATTATGCCGACTGATATCTCGAGAGTTAGCTTATAACCAGTCCGCTTCCGACATAAACTCGGCGATTTGATAGCGTGCAATTGCTGGTAATCGGCCGGCAAATTAATGCTTATTAGTCTAGTCGTTACGATAGAAATCCATGAGATTTACCGATCGTTGTTATTACTCTCTCGTTCTCGTGACGAACTTACCGGACCTTTCCAGAGGCGACGGATGAAAAAGAACGGCATCGGGGCGAGGGTCGACAGGCCGATCAGTATTCCGATCGCATTCACCCAGCCAGGGAATATGTACTCGCCATAACGAGGCATCTCGTACGTACATATTTGATACACGAACACCACCTGCGAACGAAAAACCACGAATAGAGGAAAAGAGGAGGGAAACAAAAGGAGTTCTTATTTCTTGTGTAAACTTCTCGGGGGAGCAGTAAGCTTGATGGTACAACGGCCAATTAAGAATTTGATATTTTTAATCGGGGCTGACTTTGGCACGCTCTCCCTCAGGTATCTTTACGACTTCGGTGCATAGAATTTCAGATTAAAATGAAAATTTACTCCTTCCTAGCGAGATCTGATTCCAATAAGTATTTACTCGTCGATTAAATCGCCTCTGTTGTATCGTAGATACCGTACTGTTGCGAATAGTGTTATTTTTCGTTTCATTAACTATAATCTTTGCTGCATTGTGTTGTAGGTGTATACAGTGTCGCTAGAGAATATACGGACACTTGGTAGAAAGTAATTTAGTTATAAAATTGCAAATATACAACATCGTCGGATCATAGAAATATATAAAATTTATTTTATCCGTCTTAGTTGGAAGGCAATATCAAAAAAGGTCGTATTTAGATTTTATACGTATTTCGTACATTTTATATGTATATTAGTAAGTGTAAATATGCGACATATCGCGTAGTACCAAAAACAAAGCAGGGATATAGCGATTGATTTCCCACATGTTGCATGACAGCGTCAAATGTATTAAATTCTTGAATAATCATGAATACGAATTGTTTTTGTGATTAATGACATTAATGTCAAATGATTATGAAATTATTTGTTTGCTTTCATTTCGTGTGTGAAGTGAAATCGATAAACTAATTGCCAGTAATATCTTATTGGGCACCGTATACTTACAGATTTTATCGGAAATGAAGTGGATATCAAAAAAGTTATCGAAGCGATAAGTAAAATCTATAAAAGATATCAAAATTTAAACATGAAATATAAAATTAATTCCCCTTAAGGAACGGAAGACCAATTTATTCACGTAAATTATTAGCATTTTCTTCGCTAAAATTCTGGGAATAATAGCTATAATTTTTGGTATTTAATTTCCTCCTTTTTGATTTTTTAAAACGACTTATCGTATTCGTAAAAGCCTAAATGTATCTACTATTTGATATCTAAAGAAATATATTAAAGCGTAGTGACAAATGTACGTTTGATATCAAAAGAGGTAGCATAATAGAAGATAAGGGGAAAAAGAGTAAGAAAGAAGTAATAAAAGTGAAAAATGAAATAACATAATAGAAGAAGATGAAAAGAAGAAAGTGGGAAAGAAGTAATATTGCGAAGGATGGAGTGATATAATTTCAAATTAAATGAAATTGATCTAACAGCTTCAAAGCTTTAATAACACACCCACGATCTCGTCGTACTGATAAACTTAAATTCCACACTAGTCTCTGTAAATCATCGATTTTCGTTAAACATGATTAAAAAGAGGAGGAGAAAGTAATAATTCGCCACTGGAAACGTCGTAATATATAAAATAAAAAGACAACGGATCCTATGTAATAAAATATATCATACGCATATAATATGTATTATATAACTACCATAATCTATAGGAAAAATCAATATATTCCATTTTCTGGCTACCAGCAAGTCCATAAATACTGACGATCGATACCTTCGAGTTCGCTATGTAACTTACATTAAACATACGAGCTACGAAAGGAACACATTGCCCAAAGTTCCCGATAGGTATTAAAACGTTTCCGGAATGGCGTGGGAAGTTTCAAAGCCGCCATTGCATCCTATCCGGAGGACACGTTGTATATGAAAATCAAGTGACTGATGACCGAAACACGCAAGCCGATTTATCGGAAAACGGCGATAAATCAACAGAGATCGCACTCGATTGATCGCGAAACAAAGCTCGCAGGCTTGTTGTTTCCGTTGTTTTTCTAGAAAAAAAGGAGAGTGCGACCGAGGAAAGCTTCGCTCTTTTCTCCACGATCAATTCGAGTCTGTGCGCTTTGAGACAGAAGTTAAGTTGTCGATTTGATTGGTTGCCTCGAAATCAACCTGCGGACGAGGCCGGTAATCGATGAAAGAGGAGGAAAAACCGCCACTCGATTCGGCGTACCGTGATCATTTATTTCGATACGATTCATGATCGCTAAAATGGAACGTGACAGGGGTTTCCAGCAATGTGGCTCGCTTCACGAAAAAGGAGAAGAGGTAGAAAAAGAATGGTTATTGAGGAAAACTGCCACCGCTTATATTCTTGCGTCTGCAATTGCGTATAGGTGGTATTAGATCGGTGCATATGAAATATCGAATATAGATTTTTCTGCAGTTTCAATCCGACAGAACGAATCATCCATTAAATTTTCTCGTACTTTCGTTCGCGTAAAATCGTATTAAAGAAAAAGAGCTTTGTTGTATCATACGAGTATCGACCGTGCTATGATAATACAAATATCGAAACCATATTATCAGCCATCGTAATCAAAGCGTATGTATATTCGTGTTTCTTTATTTAATATCTATCGATATCTTAAAAGAATCTTAAAAGAATCTAAATGTAGCATTTGGGTAAAATTACGTAAATGTTAGAAGAGTGTAATACTAGATTGTTGAGGAAGCTCATAGCGACTTTAATAATTAATGTCAATTCTGTTGTATGTTTCATGCGATTGGAAGAATATTAATCGCAAAACTAACCTGGATATGACATTAAATGCAACGATTTAAAAGAAATTCCTGAATTGATCAATAAAAAGACGTTGCTTTTCAGTAAGGCAAATTATCGATGAAGAGCTAGAAATATGGGGTATTTGAGACAGTTGAAATATCAAACTCCACATATCTCGTATCGGAATTCTTTTAACTCGAAGAAGTTGGATATTTTAAGAGCCTATAAAAATAACTTCGACCAACTAATCGCTAAAATCTACTCGTCTGAAAGTCGTGTTTAATTTCTTGCAAAATATCTAGAAACATTTTGAATCTCATATTGTTTATCTCTTTCAAAAAGCTATTATTATATGCTAATGAAAATCCATGGATGACCCTGTTTAAGATGAAGATACTTTCGTCTTACTTGTAAAGCCACGCAATATTCGCACAGAACATCGTCTTAAAATTCTAAAGGTAAGATAGATATCTCGAGTGATAAAGTTAGACGAGATACCCTGTAGAAAAATATAGAAAAATGTAGAGAGTAAATATAGGAAAACATAAAGGGTGGCTGCTCGTTAAAGCGAACTTCCCCTGGAGCAACGTCATTCCATGCGTATACATGAAAGTATACGTAACTTAGTACAAACAGTACACGCCATGCTCGTTCATTTACAATTACGATAAAATAAAAGAAAAAGGTACACGTAAAGATTACTGTCTTGCAACGTTCGTGCTAGTAGACTGTAATCGATTACGATTACTCGTTAGATTTTGTAATTAATTAATGTATAAAACTGGTAAAACGTATATTTAGAAATATGTTAAGATGCGGTTTCTCCTTCGAGTTTTTAAGGGGAATATCGTGGACAAAAGGAACTTAACAAAAAACAGAAAGAAGATAAAAAGAATCCGCCTACAGTGCTGCCAGTTAAATGTAGTCGGGTTATGTTGCCAAGATATGGAAAAACGCGAAAACAAACATTATGCATTTTTTGTGCTATCGTGAACACCAGAAAGATATAATGCGAATATCTATATACAGTAAATATTTGGTGTAACATTTATTTCAGTGGTAACTAAATATGCGCTATTTCGAACAGAATTTTAACGAGATTTTAATGCTTGTGAACGTAATTTTATATCATTAATAATTTCTCGAACGATAAAATATATCTCTATACACGTTCGTCCTTAATCAATAATAGATACTTTTATAATCGACTGGATTCGACGTTGGTAGTTGAATTTGAAAAATAAAGAACGGAAAAGCATAGAACAAGGTGTATGAAAATTAAGTATAAATTATTGTGCTTGAACCTATCAAAATTTATGTTTGCTTACCTATATGTTTAATAAAAATTCTTGCAACGCAAGAAATGTCAGTTTCTATTATAAAGAAAAATAGAGAGAGCTAATCGATAAAAGAGGAAATGCAGTACGTGATGAAAAACTACTCGGAATAGATTCATAAAATTTTTAATGAATTTATTCCGGTTCATCCTGTATAATTAAATATTATAAAGATAATGAACGTAGCGGGGAATCTATAAAAGATCTAACTGAGGTTTAAAAAGGAGCTTTAAGAAGAATTATAATTAACAATTAAATAGACATAGTAAAAATTGTAGAAGTAAGATTTTGTTTATTTTTAATCCTAATCGCCCCGTTAATAATAAGAAGGGATCACTGCAACGAAGCACTGAACTTTCTAAAATTAATCAGGCTAGCAAAAACTCAGAAGAAAATGCCGGACATTAGCATTACAAAAGTTTACCGATGTAAAGGTTTACAAGAAACGCCCTTAGATACTTTCCAATGCCAGCGACTGATGCGAAACTTTTAAGCTATTTTAAGCTTTTATCGGAAGAAGCTATCCTACGATCCACATTAATGTTTACGAAACGAACTCTTGGAAGACAAACTATCGCAGAATATTATTTCCGGAAATAAATTAGGATTGATCGAGCGTCAATCTCAAATCGAGCTATGGTGTATCGAAAACTGTCGTATCGAACTAACCGGCACCGAGTATATCGCATTTAATAAAGCGGTCTATCGATCAGATTTAGATCTCTTTGGAACTCTCGATACAAAGACAGATATAGAACACGATAGGCATCGGTGGAGTGCAATGACTCGTGAAAATATTCGAACACTTCCAGGAACTTGTTATATATTTATATACGGTATACGTATGATACAAAATATTTTGAGATCTCATTAGACAAGAGTCACGACTATCGTGACTAGATCGATAAAACTCGAAACAGATATATAGAAACTATATATAGAAGTTAGAACATATTTATTAAAGGCACACGTATCGCAAAGATCACCAAAGTATTTGGACAGACGATTATTCGGTATATTAATAAGCCAAAACACGTAGTGAGGCCATATTTAGCACTAATTATACGTTTAAGACTATTATTCGTGTTGTATACTAATTTTTCAATAACAAGGAGATGGCAGAAACTGTGAAATCTCGAATGAGTTGACTGTATTTACATTCTATGCTTCAGGTTGACGTAAAACAACCCCAAAAGGATTCTCTGTTTTCGAGAAATTAATTGAGAAGTTACGATCTTGTTGCAACGATTTGTAAGTGTATATTTGCAACAAATGTCTTCTAACCTCTATATACATTTTTGAATTGAATGACTTCTATATACATTTCATATTTTACTGTTACAAACACGATAGTCGTGTTAAGAAAATTTGAAAAAGTTTCGTATAATATATATAATATGTTCCGTGATAAGTTTCGAATACTTTCGTGAGCCACTGCAGGTTGCGATAGAATAGAACCGAGAAATCTTTACCGGAGAGACTCTACTCCGCTCTTGCTGCGATAATGATGAAAATTCTCCAAGGTGACTCGAGAGAATGATCATTACTTGCTTCTTTACCGTGTCTCTCTGCGCGTGCTTTCGCCTGTTCGAATTAGTGATCCAGATATTTCAGTGGATTTGCGTTTGTTAACGATGAAGTGGGCGCAATGGAACATAATTATTTAGGCTGTGATTTTTTCAATGGCTTCGGGCGCGCGTGACGAGGACCGAGTGCGAGGTCATTTACTAAACAAGATGCGAAAGCAGTAAAGGCAGAGTAAAAAAAAAAAGAAGAAGAAAAAAATATACGACCGACAGGCGGAGGAAGAGTCTAAAACAAACGGAAAATCAATAATGGAGCACAAGCGTCGCGCTAAATGCTTGCAGACCGAGAAGCAAAACCGCGATAATACCGTCAGTGAAAACATCTCGAAAGGAGAAAGGATTAACGTCTTAACTATGAGGTGCATGCCCGGAAAAAGAGAGTAGTACGAACTGAACGAACGAACTAGCTCGTGTCCGTGAACCGGATTTGTTTAATCGCTCGGATGATTCGTATGATTGCCATGGTTTCAACCAAGTTTTACGGAAGCTAAGTGTGATTACATGGTATATTTGGGGGCGAATATCGGGCAGATTCAGATGTATAATGGCGAGAATGAACGATGATTTATGTATTTGAAAGTTCTGAAAATGTAGATAGCATTGATTGTTTTAGAAGCAATCGGAGTATATGAAATATTTAAGACGCCTAATGCAATTTAATAAAAAAGAATATTTATTAGGTTACTCATCTTGTAGCTAACGGAGAGACGACAAAAGCGAACGCAAAATATACGTTTTCGTGGGAGATTATTTTTTAATAAAAGTAAATATGATTTTGAAGTGAACCCTGTTTTTCAAAGTAATATTTATTTTGAAGAATCTTAATGTGAAATTTTGTAGAAATATCGTAAAAGAATCGTAAATTTAAATAATTCGAATTCAGTTTTGGGAAACTGACATTTTTGATTGCACTCAGACATAGATATGTAGCGCTTCTTTTAGTTTAAAAGCGTCAAATCATCATCGTGTCGAAATAACACGAAAATCGATTTAACTTTATCCCCATCATATAATTATATCATTTGTATTATATAATGGATAGGAGGAACGATATAATCACAACAAGGACATGCGTAATTGGCTGCTGACCTCACCTAAGAGCACAATATACAATTCAGATACTAAGCATTATACATTCATGTATGTCAAAGTTATGAAACTCTGACAGAAAGTTATTGTTTTCAAAGTTACTCGAAATTTCCCAATATAACTTGTATCTATTGTATTAGGAAATTCAATTTGAGGCTGCATCATTAGTAACCAGCGAAACTACTATTAAAATTGGTTGAACGTAAAATATTTATGACACTTTAAAACAAATTTCATAATTGATATAGTTTATCTGGAGACTTTCAACCAATATCTGCATGTAAGTTGCATTTATATCCAATACGTATCTATTCGACGCTTTCTTATCTTACACTGATAAGACGTACAGCGTATTCGTGCACTAGGAATATACGGAATTATATGTTAATCTTTTTTTTTCGCGAAACATTAGAATGCGAATTCTGTTTGTATTATATTTAAAGATTAATTACATCTTAGTATATTTAAAAATCACTTACATTTTTACGAACTGGAAGAATATATTTCTTTCGAATATCGAAGAAATTTTGTAATTACAAGAAGCTTTTCTTTTCAAGATAAAACTGCTATTCCGTTGTCGTATTCGTTGCCAACGTTTCTAATGTTTTATACTTCGTTTATATTTACGAAAAGATGTTCGATTCTCCTAATCGATTACAACAAATTAATTGACTTTTATCTAATAACATTTACAATTAACATTTACGTTTTGACCTAATCAATTTTAATTCAAACGATACTTTAGTATCTTCGATAATTCCATGCTGCAGATTACAAATCAGGGGATTTTCAATGGAAATATTCTCGGCATTTTATGCCATAGAGTTTCATTTACACAGAACGGCATCGGCATCCGACATCTGTAAAACAAGTTCGATATCGATCGAGTTAATTATCGGAGAATAACTTGGACATAGTTGGCCAGGTGTATTTCGAGGATCCTGGTGCACGGAAACAACTGTAGTAACGCGTCAAGACACGAACGGAGGGGATGCGATTACAATGCACTTACCAGACAAGTGATAGGCGCGAGCACAGCCCAACTGAGCCACCAATATCTGCGGAGCAAAAGGCTGAACCGCATTTGCATTTCAGCTATGTTACGCAGGAATTTGTTGCACCCGTAACACCAGCCTACCACGCCGACCTCGGCAATGCCGATCAATAGTATTGCCCAAGAAGCGGTGTTCCAGTCCATCAGCGTGAACAGGTAAATACCACCATCGAACACCATCGGTATAGCAAGGAGCCAGCAAGTGACGCATATCCCTAATACCACGTAGCTCTCGTGTTTTCGTAAATCTGGTCGCAGGTCCAATATGGCGGTGTTTATCGCCTGCACGCCTGCGAACTGCGTATCGTAAAAAGCAACGACCGACTGTGTTACTCGAGATTCGATGCTCGCCCGTCGGGGATTCTCGTTACCCTTTCTCCGTTTTTATATTCTTTTCTTCTTTCTCGCCCCTTTTTTCCCCTCGTATATTTTTTTTTCCTTTTTTCTTTCTTGACGCCGTCTGTCTTAATTACCCTTCAGCGTGCAAGCTGCAGAGGCAGCAGAGGGGCAGAGACGCGTGTAGAAAACAAAAAGCCTTTCGCTTTCTTTCCGCGGCTCTCCCTTTCTCTCCGCCAGCTTTCTTTTTGCCTCGCTCGTTTACCTTTCTACGGTTCTCTCATTCGTAGGGAAAAAAAGGTGGAAAGACGAGGACAGGAGGAAAGGTGTGGATTTCAGTGGGACGGCAAACCATAACTCTTTCCATGATATACGAGCCTCGAGGCAGAGAGACGGGAGGTGATGCAAAAGTAACACGGCACGATCGTCTGGCTACTCGCGAGCACATTTTCCCTCACAGCTCTTTTGACGAATACGGCGGCTGGCGTTCCGGTTTTCGCGGCACTTGAATAGCGCCTTCTTAGCTGGCTCGGTAGGACGAAAAATTTTTGCCTTCTCCTTCTCGCGCGCGCAGATCCACACCGTGCAAATAACAAGGCCGTACTTTAAACTTTAAACAACATGGAAATACGATGCTCTTCATTTTCAAAAGTCTTCACGCTTCTCTGCTCGTGCCCTTTCCTTTCCCCCTTTTTTACTTTATCTCCCATTTCTTACTTTCACCTATTCTTTCGCTTCTTCTCGCTAAACCTTCTTTCTCTTTGCTCGGCAACCGCGAATCGACTTGCACAGTGCTCTCCTTAACTTCAAAAGTGCCTACTCCATTTTTTAACGAACTTGTAAAACGCGAGGAGCGCGCACGGTTCGACTCGTTCGATCGATCGTTACTTTTCGCGAATCTACCATCCTGTTGTTTAATGCAAGTACTTACTTGGCTACCGATGCCCAGGATGAACAGCATGACGAAAAACAACACTGCCCAGAGATTGGGCAACGGCATCCGTGCCACGGCTTCTGGGTACGCGATGAAAGCCAGGCCTGCCCCGCTTTTGATCACGTCGTCGATTGGCATGCCCATTTGACGGGCAAGGAATCCCATAATGGAGAAAATCACGAATCCGGCGAAGATCGACGTTGCGAGATTCGTAAACGTCACGATAATTGCGTCTCTGAGAGAAGTAAAGGAGAAAAATATATTTAAGACAGGTAGCAGGATGTTTGCCTTCTCGTTAGTTCGGATACGGCAGGTTCTATCACATTTTTATATTTTCATGCATTCTGACAATTTGTCGTACCCTCCATGATTATTGCGAGACCAAGATCATTTATTATTTGTATCTACAAGTCGTTTCCGCAGGACGTTTGAATCGTGTATGAATATTTCGCAAACGACGGACCATAAAAGCTCGTATCAAACGCATCAGTGTGGCCGAAAATGGGTGGATGGTGTCGTGTTTTACCTTCGTATCGTCACGAGAAAACGACGTTCTGATTCAGCGAGCGACGCCATATAAGGCTTTTCGGAAGTATAAAACGTATCACGCGATAAGGGCGAGACGCGGCAGTTAAATGACAGAACAGAGGAAGAACAATTAATAATCACAGGTAAAAGTTGGCCAGCTGGTGCGGCAAGTTATATTCCGGTGCTGCGCTACTTGCTCATTCGACTTGCGTCGCACTGATATAATTTATATACGCGATGCAACGTGCAACGAATTGTATCTGCCGTTGGAAGAGAAGTTCAGCGTCGGATAATCATGCTAATTACGACTTTCTGCAATATTTCGAGCACGTGAACGCTCCGACTCGGCGAGTATCGTTTTGTTTCGGAGGTACCGTGGCTTGGATGATACATCTTACGATCAGTATCGTACGAAATGAAGCAGACGTTCTCAACGTCCAAATATCGTGGCCACGCGCATTCGCTGGTTCACTGTTTGAAATACACCCTGCGCTTGATAAGTCTAGCTTTAATCCTCTCACTGTCGATTTAAACTGTCGGCAGTGCGCCGCGATAACTACGTCGAAGAATTAAAAAGGTGTTGTTTCATATGGATTTTGGATATAATCATTTATTGATTAATATCTATTGGCTAATATGTACTCCCCATATGCTAAATTTTAATAAGTGAAATAGTATATGTGTACGTAACGATTCGTATATCGTGGTGAAAATAAATATCTCGACGAATTTTAAATCGTAACGATTTATAGTTTTTGATGTACTCATAGGACACACAGATCCCACAGCGTAAAAGGTTAATCATTTTACGGCGAATCACGTCATTAGAAGATCGCTACAGTCGATTCCGACGACAGGATTCAGACATTTGAACGCTTTTTCATTCGAAGCACGAGTGCAAGATCGTTGGTGGACGTATCCAAAGATTCACGCGAATATAAAATGCATTATCGTTATTGCTGACTTTTAAGCGAATGAATCATATTAATTGAGCGGAAGATTTTAATTGGATATTCGTGTAACTTTATTGGATTGCCGAGATCGTAATGGTGATTTGATAAGAACACGAATAGATCGCGATGATCTACATTTGCTTATTCATAAATTTATTTCCTGATGCATGAGTGTACGCTTTCGACCAATTTCAGAGCACGCAAAATTCGTAGTAGCGTTATAAAGAAGGCATTGCGTGGTCGAATATCGACTGCGTACGCTTACCTGTGGCAATTGTTATTGAAATTACTGTAGCTCGAAAGAGTGATCAAAGATCCACAACCGATACCAAGGGAATAGAAAACTTGGGATGCAGCATCTGCCCATACGCTAGTTGATTCCAGTGTTGACCATTTTAGCGTAATAAACCAAAGAGAACCGTCACCAGCACCGTCCAGTGTAACACCTGCACGTGTACAATAAACCAATAAAAATTGACAAATTCTTTAAAATAACTGATATCGCTAAAAAAAAAAACATACTTTTTATGCAATCCAGCGACGCATGAAATTCTTAAATTTAGATTTTTAATTCATATTTGAAGTTTAATGTCGCATAAAGAGATATCTCGTTTAATAGCATTTTAATATCATTTTAATGTTCATAAATTATCAATTATCTTGTCGAAGAATTTTAATTATGAAACTTGATATACGCGAAAACCTCGCGCGGGTCATGATGCCATTTTATCATCTCTGACCGTTAACAATTAATTTATTTTTTAATTTGTTGACAATTCATCGATTGTAATATTCTCTTCCGATTCGTTGATAGTTATTTATTGCGTTCTTCATGAACGTGTCCGATGATTGAAAAATAATTGTTTTGCAGCAATTCTGAATTAATAATACATTGCAAAGTATTCATTTATTCTGACGTATAATTAAAATTTTACATCATCTGAAAAATCTTGACGATCAACGAACACCCTGTATATACGCAGTGCCGTAACATTCTTTTATACGAAGGAGAAACAGTTCTAGGATAAAAATGTACATCGTATAATTTTTCAAAAACAAATTTTTCGGCTTTTATGTAATAGTTGACGATAGTACGTAAGAGTCTATGTAATAGCAAACATATTAACTTGAGCAATGAGTTCTTTCGCTTTTCATTGATATAAGCATTTCGGAGAATGTTATCGGTATATTGCGAATTTTCATGCATCTATAATAGTTTCAAAGGTGCAAAAATCTACAGATTGCAAATAGTATATAGAAATATATGAAATATTCAAATTGAAGTACTCTTTATAATTTTTAGCGGATGAAACTTAGTTCTGTTCGCGGAAATATGAAATTGCATAAAAACCTCCGGTCGAGTTCTAAAATTTATTCAAAGAATGTAAAGATACATATGTTTGAATTTATGTAAAACAAATTACACCTTGCTTAGGTAGATTTTACGTGGAAATAAACACACTTGACGCTCTCTTTTAAGAAAACGTGAATGAGCTTGTTTCTCAACGTAATACATAATTCCTTAATCGCATCAACGAAGAAATTTCTATTGCACGAAAAGCGTTTTTCTTGTGTTCTTCTTACCTCGTATCAGCAGCGCCGTAAGCATGACGTAAGGGAAAAGTGCGGTAAAGTAGACGACCTTCCCAATGGACTGGACACCGCGCATCAGGCATAGGAAGCAGACTATCCAAGCGAGGGTGAGACATCCTAACAATTCCCATCTTATGCCTCCAAAATGTTCCCACGTGGCACCTCGTAGACCCAATACACGGTCGCTAGATTCGACCAACGATAATATCCGACCACGATTAAATATTTCAGCTTTCCCCGTGATTTTCTTATTTATAAATGAATAACAAACTACGTGATAGATAAATAAAGATAGAAGGCAAATGGCGAAATGGAACATGTCATAGCTAACTAAAAAATGCTATGAGAGAATACTTTGGTAAAAGGATAGTCGGAAAATTTTACGTGGGCAGCGTTATTGTGTTTGCAGGCGAAATGGGAAAAAGTTGTAGAAAGAAAAGGTGATTATGTTTTTCTTCGTGGCACTCTCTAGTACCACTGACCTAATTCTCCGTATAAAAAACCGGTCTACTTGCCTCGTGTGACCTAATATATTTAGAATATCGATTTTGGAACTAATACTCGCTCGAGCTCATTTCATTAGAAGAAAAGTACTCACCGAGTATTATAAAAACCGCTGTATTTAGATATAGTATTCTGCATATCGCACGCGTTCTGTTCGTATCTTTCGTGATCTTTCGTAAATGCACAAAAAAAGAAAAAGAAAAGAAAATGATTTATAACATACACCGGTTCGTGACATACTTGAAATATTCCTCCGAAGAAAGGATGCGAGTATAAAGGTGTTGGAGAAGTTCCAATCTGTTCGTATCGAAACAATGAGTGACGTTGCCATCCTCGAAACCAAAATTCTTGCAGATAAGCCTGGCCGATACGCAAGTCCTGTTGTAAAATATCGTTTCCGGATCATTCGTTTGACATTGGATCCCTTGCAGGCCACTATAACAATCTGTACAAGTCGACATTATGGCTTTATCCCCGCATATCCAATATCGTTGCCCTGGTTACGCGATAATTAGGAAACAACATCAAAGGCTTTCAAAGGCTTCCAAAGGCTATCGCTGATTGAAACGAAATAGCTGTCGTTTACAGAATACGATGCGTCGTAGAGCTGACAGCGTATGGTTCGATATTACATGCGATAGCTGGTCATATACACGTATACCTATGTTGCCTATGTACGTATGTATATCCGCACTGGTACTTTGTTACGATCGTCGAGAGACCGCCACTAATTACACGAGCGCTTTGTTGTTCTCCCCGCATTTATTTCAGAGAGATACTTCGTTCTACGAGGGATTTCCGGTTTCAAGCGTTCCCTTATGGCGTGGCTACGAGGGCACGCGCGCGCTTGTTTTAGTGACACGCGTAAGGCGGCGGCACCAATAAGCAGCTGAAGAGACTGCTTTGTTTGTTGAACCTGAGAAAAATCGCACGAACGAGCGTCCTTAACCCCTTAATGCGTAAAACGTGGGCACAGCTATAACCGTCCAAAGTGCACGAGTTTATGTGAGACACAGGCACAACCATTTTTAACACATCTTTCGTAGCTATCTACTAATAGACAATCGCGTTTTTATAAAAACACTTGTTTTCTCGCACGTTCTAGATCGTTCTTTGTACCTTATCGAATGAGAAACGTAGGACGTAGCATTAGAATTACAATATATATTATTAATAATGTAATATAAAATAATATATATGTATATATTCATATCTGGTACGCATATAACTTGCAAGATAAGCTGAAAATTAGTTAAAATCTAAAATGAGATGGAATAAATTTCTCGTATAATATAACATAAATATAAAAGTTGTTACGATCCGTACAGCGAGTAAACTTAACGAAGTTATGGCGATTAAGACCCAGGATCTCTAATTTTTAGCTTTTTATACATATATTATGCATACGAATATCCTAAAGCCTACCAGAAATTGATAGCGAAGCGAGCTAGTACGTTATGTGTGTGAGGCATGCATTTGCGTGGTGTGAGTCAACCTTTTCCACGAAGTGCATTAACCTAAATACACACGTTTTGTCTCGTACGTAACAAACAATTAGATAAGGTTTTTATTATGAGATAAGCAAGCAATCCTTAGGCGGACAAAAAATTAGAAAAAAATATAAAAAAGAGAAATTACAATTTCCAAATCTCAGTCCAAACCTCCTAATCGGTCAAAAATGCACGATTTCTCTTTTTAGTGCACTCGTTCCTTCGCTGTGTAATAATATATATATATATATTCATATCTGTTAAGTTTTGTTCCCGTAATTCATTTGATCAATCATAAAGGATACACGCTACTGTGTTAAAAATGACTAGTGCAATCTACATGAGGATATCCACAAGAAATCCACATCAAACGCGTATAGATTTAACGAAGTAACCTAGGAATAGCAGAGATAAAAGCAAACGATCGTCTCCATGAAATTGGAAAAATGTCGGATCACCGCTTGTAACAAAATAAATTCTTTATAACAATATTGGTCGTATGAATTGGCAGTCAGCGGTCGGCGGTCGGCGGTCAGTGGTTACAATGATCGCTCTGTCGATGAAAGTTGTAATAAAGTAGAAGTAAAGTTGCTAAACCGAACTTCCGTTACAAGATTTTTGTCGCCGTTTTTTGGCGACAACACAGGATGTAATTTCACAGGATGAACAATCACAGTGGATATTTACGGTATTGTTTTGAACGATTTCTCTAAAAACAGGCGAGCAACTATTACAGCACGAAATAAATTGCAATTTTGAAAATGAGGTCATACCTCGAACGAGAATATTATTTCGGTCTCTTTTGCTAATTTTATGTTCTGATTTCGATATCGTAGATCGCACGTAACCCGAAATATCTTGCACAAAATAACTTGTTTTTGTAACAAGATATATTTTGAATAAAACATCCAACTCTCGCAAAAAGGGGCATACACGTACGATTTGAATCGACGTTGAGGAAAAGTTGGTGAATGCGATATAAATAAATTCTTTCAACGAATGAAATCATTTAGTTGTAAAAATAAATTGCTTTACTATATTCTACGAACAAGAGCAATAACATTAAAAGAACTGCTAAATCGATAAAGAAAGGACTCTTATTATATCTTCATTGCAGCGTACAATACGAATTGTAAATACAATACAATACGAAATACGAATGGAGAACAATGTTGTAGGTTTGTGCATTTTACCGTTATTTCGTAGATATGTAGATTAGAATAGATATTAGGACAGATTAGAGTAAAGAGATTGTAGATTAAATGAGAAAAGAATTACGATCGACAAATTACGTGGTAGTTCCACCTATGGCGATAAGATATACGAGAAACATTCACCGATACCAATACCTTTTTAAAGCTCTAACCCCGCACAAACGATTAGGTGCGACTTTAAATAACCTGCGAAGAGGACATTGAAACTGAGAAAAAAAAAGGCATTTCGTTGCATCCAAGTTAATTAAAGTTTGTTTCTAGAAAAACCGAAAAATATTCGCACGTACCATTCCATATCTATAGATCAAGCTATATTTTGCTGAACAAAAAATTTTCAATATGAAAATTGTTGTTATTTACATATTGGTAACACAAAAGGCATACGTAGTACGCGTATATACTCATAAATTGCCAGCTATACAATGTATGGAAAAACATAAAGCAGCATGTAACGATACGAAGGAAGAGGAGAATATTTTTCTCATGTTATGCGCTTCCGTTCTGCAGAGTAGAGAAATTGAATTTCGAAGAAACGAGCCGTTCGTCATTCGATCGTTTAAAACGGTTCTACGACCTCTTCGGGCTTTATGGGAACGATAAAATACGCGTGTGGCACGGTTACGCTACGTTACGCTAAATAACAAGTTGAACCCATCGTTCGTAGGCGAGGTGCGTTCTCTAAAATTTACAAGGGGCGCGGCAGTACGTCCGTTATTTTATCAGTGTGCTTACCGTTCGTGTTGAAATCGTTGTCGCAGTAGGCCCAACCGAGCTTCGGCACGAACGAGACGAACGTGTAGAAAAGTGTCCAGGCAACGATCACCATGTAGTAGACCATTACAAGCAAAATGACGACGAGGGTGCAATAACCGAGACCCTCGAGTGCCGGCGCCATACGTGTGAACGCTTCGTTAGGGCCAAGTCCTGAATATTGTCCAATCGCGAGTTCCAAAAAAAATATCGGCAATCCCATGGTTATCAGCATTAAAACGAATGGAATTAAAAAAGCACCTGTAAACAGAGCAACGACTGGAAATACGCTATAACGTATTTATAAAGAGTTTAACGAGGACGGCGACAACTACGATACCACGTAGGTTCACGCAAGTATTCGAACACAAGTATCGATCAATGAAATTTTGTCAGCACCGTTATGAGACTTGTAACGCTTGTATCTGTAGGTAGAATCTGAAAATATGTATGGAAATTACAAGATGCTTGCTGCAAGTACATATTTCGCAGAGATCACAGAAGTATTTAAACAGTCGATTATCCATACTATACCGTCATCCATGCACACTACATACGGTATGGATATAAAAGCTTTCCATGGTAAATGTTCAAATACTTTCGTGAATCGATGTATACGTATATACATCTCTGTTCGGTCGAATAAATACCGAAGACTGTATCTAATCTTCTCGTTCTAACGTATAATAAACGGCAAATCGTCGATAAAAAGTTGGTTGGTAAACGAAAAAATTAAACAACCGCGATATTAAAAAATAAGTAAAAAACGATGTCTTCGATTAAAAAGGCTATTCTTGATGTCGATTAATGTCCCGTTCGTGTTCGTTTACGTCGGAACAACCAGATAAATATACTCAAGGAATACGAGCCGATTTATCATTCGCTTCGAATGGATACTAATTAAAAGTTATCGAGCCCCTGAGTCTGATTAACGCGACGAAACACGGCGTTACAGTAGAAAGGTTAAAAACGGTCAGCCACTATTCTCTCTTTGGTCGTCTTTCATTAGGAGCCGCTGCGCCGACCGGGGAACAATGAAGAGCTGGGGCCACGTAAACAGAAAAGAACAAAACGACGAGAGTGGAAGTAAAATAGAATAATTAAAAGCCAAGTGTTCAGAATACGCGGGCAGCATCTCTCTCTCTTTTCCTACCTTTTGGAATTTCGCAAATAAACCCGGTGAAAGAGAGGAGCGGCTGTATCAACAGGCACAACCGCACACGCAGCCAGGAAAGATTTATTAAATTTCCCGAACGCTCGGTCACGAGCTGCCAAACTACGCTTAATTATTCGAATTAGTCGCTTCGTCACGTCGACCACGCACGTACACTCCGTGTCACGCGTCTGCTCATCCGCCTATTTCTCTTTCTCTGCTTCCTCTCTTTTCCCTTTTTCTCCCTTCCGGTTTTTTCCTTTTTCTACGAAAACGGCCGACGCACGAAAATAAATCATTCCGCGTAATCCAGTAGTTCGTTTGCTAGCCCGTGACCGTCTGTTTAGCGAATACGACTAGACGTTTTTCTCGTATGGGAAAGTCGTGCGCACACGCTACCCGTATCCACATGCAGCATACATACCGTACGTTCACCACGACGCCAGGATACGCACAGCTACCAACATATGTATATATACGTACCACCGCCATTACGATATACAAGGTAAGGGAAACGCCAAACATTGCCAATGCCAACGGCATACCCGATGCAGGATAGAACAAACTCGATGGGATTGGCCCAGCTACCCCGTTCAGGATCCTGCGTTAGCTCCACCAAGGCACCGCCAACTCCCAGTGAAACCCTCTTCGTCTGCCAATAACACGGGTTACGTTATATTTGCATCATATAAATCATCGCCGCGAAACGCACGACAACCGGCAACCGAATGGGGAAAAAAGGGGCCAACAACCGGAACAACCTACCGTAGCGGTTGTATGGACAGGTAGGTTATGAAACAAATGCGAGTTAACAACGATAGAACCTCGATTATCCGAATATTCCGTCGTTCGAACACGTTTCCCGTGTAAACAGTTCGATCTAAGGCGGACCCGTGCACCGCACGATCTATCGTACGAATCAGTAGAAATTTAGTCAAGCACTCTGTCCGGTCACAGCATGGTGTTAACACGCATAAGGACAAAACACGAAATAATTCTTTCTTACGATACTAGCGCTATGTGTGAGAAGTTCGAAATATCCAGAACTGTTAGGCTCAATGCCGAGAAGCTAGATCGAGAAGCTAGATTTAGGATACACTAGGATACTTGCTGAAATTAAACCGAATAATGAATTAACTATTGGCTATAGGCCTGCTAAAAAATTACTGAACGATGGCCTAACTGAGATTCACGATGTTTGACCGTACCGTAAGGTCGCCTAACAAAGACAACGCGTAGAGTGGGTACGTGCAAACTTCTTCGTCGAAAGGTGTTCTGGGAAACCATAGCACCCCTGCCTGTCATTCTTCGATATCGAACAGCGGAATCAAGTGCCTCGATAGTCAAGTCTAAGGACCAGTGTGTAGAACATAGAGTTGGACGAAACATAGGAGAATGCGGAAGACAACAATACACTCGGGCGAAAGGTAACGCGGGAAGTGGGAAGGTAAGAGCTGCCACTGGAGGACCGTCCAAGGTATTTACGTAACGAGATTAAGGGAACGCTCGAATCGGCTGAATTTATCTGCAAAGTCTAACGGCACGAGCATCGGTGGTTTAATCTACTCGCACCGTAAGCCACCGACAGATAAGATCCAACGAAACGCTGTTCTTTTCCGCGCATGGTTGATCCCATTGTTTCGTCGGCGCATCGAGACGCACGCGAACTCGATTATTCCCCTCCCCGAACCAGACTACGCCGCCGCGAGGAGATCGTCGGTGTAATATTTTTGGAACGAAACTCTATGTACTTAACGGGTACCGTAGCTTTCATCGAAGATACCGTTTCCGCGTATAATCTTCGTGTACGTTAATAACGATTGTAAGAATCACGGTTCTGCTCTTTCGACAACTCCATCTTACATGCGTTGCTAAGATCAGAAATATTAGGACACTTATTCGTTATACTTATCGAAAAATTCGAACAAATTTTACATCGTGAAACGCGTGTAACGCGAACGAAATAACAGATTTGTAAAACAAAGTAACTAGGAAATAAAAACGGTGGGAATCATCCGGTTTGTACTACTTTCTTGTACTAAATATCGGCAAGCGTCTGAATACTCGTAGCGTATCTGCAATAATTCACTTTCTTAAGTTGAACAGGATTGATTCTTCTCGAAAATCTTCCTGTGACAAAACACATATTTACGTGTATACGTCGTTTTCATTGCGTATGTATGTCACGGATACCGAGCATCCCAAACAACGATCATCCTCGTCCATGAGGCTTTATTTGGATCAAACCGTTTCTCCTCCGCTGCACTTTAATAAAATTTTGAGACACGTTCGCGTTGCGTTCACTTTTTTCACAAGCTTGAGAACGATCGGTAGCCTAAGCGCGCACTATGCTCACCTTGGATGTCCATTGTTTAGCTTCCGTCATGGTGATAGCACGAAAATATCAGTAAAATATTTACGGTCGAAACGGTATTACGAATGTCCCGTCAACTTCGACACCAACTTCGATTCGCAATCGCGATCGCGATCGTCTGCGCAGTTGCGCGCTACTAGAGAACTATATAACCTCAGATATCAAGATAATCGACAAAAGCTATTATCGAGAGGTTGGTTCTGAATACGCTTCATAGTACCGTAGCCGCAAATAAAACGTCTCGGGTCTCGTGAGACGACATCGGCGAGCGGCCAACGTCGTATTCGTTGTGCGACGCGACGATGAAATACGCTTTGCCTTTGCTGTTTCGATTTCGCTCGAGATTCGCATACGATAGAAACGATAACGCGAGACTTACGGCTATGAGTTTAAACGACAGGTGTTTAAGGGTATATTTGACATCGATCGTTCCCCCCTTTTCGTGGATTCCCGTTTTAACATCGATACGTCAAATAGTTCGGATGCTATTCAACTATATACGAACAATCGTCGACATGCGCGTTCAGCATTGTACGATAAAAGCCTGACAGAAATATTTGGACAGCTCTGTTCATAGCAATACGATCGATCTATCGCTGATAAAACGGCGTGGTGCCGCTAGTACGTACGAAGTTGATCGCAGTCTTTTCGTTTTCGTCTGATTTACACGTGGTATTTACGAAACTGATCCGTTAATCCGTTGCTTTAAAGCGATACGTTCGAAGCTGCGACGTCATTGCGCTTTCGCGAGTGCAACGGAAACACAAAGGAAAATGGGGAATTCGACGAAATTGTAAAAGTCGGTCATAAACGTATAAAAGTGTGCAAGAACGTCTCATAATTAGACCGCATATTTACGCGAATTAATATTTCGATAAACGTTATTAGATAAAGGTCGACGAGTTCTTTTGTGCTTAATCTCAAATTCTTTGTCAATTGTAAAGATATAAATATCGCGACGCAATAATTTGAAAAGCACAACGCGATACAATTCTGAGGATAACGTTTGGTATTTACGCGCATCATATTCTTCCGGTATTATTGCGATAAAGTGCTTAAACAACGATCGATAATCGGGATCATCCTGATCATCATTACGCGAGACGATAATTATAAACGAATAAACAAATGCTATAATTTAAGGCTAATGAAATTAATTAACTCGCGAATATAATTGAGGCTTTCTTTATTTAATACACGTGCTTCTCCATTAAATCGATCGCTACAATAAGAGCCAGCCGATGTATTTTTCGATAAAATAACCGCTCTCGTTATTTGGTCGCATCAAACAATGACAAATATTTAATCTATTAAACGAATTTGTACGATAAAATGTTACCGGTGGAAAGAATTAATGTTTTGTTGATGAGCATACGTAACGTTAACAATTCAATCGACTGTTTACTTAGGATGTTCAATTTTGTAGGAAGTGAAATAATACAAAATACATACTACGTAAACCTCGTGAAACATTTTATATCGGAACAGTGTCAAAGTTGTTTCAATATTCCAATACATTTAGTATAGATGATATCGTTTATCTCCTTTCACCTATGTATATCGAACAGAGATCCGTCAATATTTGCGTATAATATTTAAAGACCTTATCTTTGAAAAGTTAATCGCGATTGTAATTTGAAAGATTTAGAGACAGGTACATACGTTAAACTGGAAGAAAACGATTATCTCGTAAACTTATGTGTTACGAGAGAAAGACGATGAATTATGCAGTGCTTGGCCAAAAATGTAAATTGACTAAAGAAAAATAAAAGGAAAAATTCAATTTAATTTAAGGATAAATAGCAATAATAACGCACGTTGAAGTGGTCACCGCTTCTAAGAAAATTCTACGTCTGATCTTTTTTAGTTTTTCTCGAGCACCGAAGCCATCGACAGCGCGTAGACAAAAGACTTCTGACGAAGACAGACCGTAAACGGTAGACAGGCGACGTTGGCTTCGGGGGTTTTTCAGTTATCGGGTAACACAGCTAGCGTGCGGATCTGGACCAGCTCAAATTGTACTCTTATAATTACACTTCTATCTAAATATATTTTCTGCCTTACAATTTATCCACGAGTTTTCTCCGTTTACGCAACGAATAACCTCAACAACGCAGAATTACTAATCGTCCCAGTCTCTTCCTCTTTCCTAAATACTTCACGAAAAAACTACTCATCTTCCCAATAACCGTACGTAACGCGGACAATCCGTTGATTAACTGGAACGCGGTAGCTCAATCTCGCGTGGCTGTGATTTTAAAAGCACAATAATAGTTGCGGCTGATTTCCCAGACGATTTACTGTGGAGGACGGCACAACGGTGGCGGCTGTTTGATGTTCCAAAAGTTGAATTCCGAGATGAAAGAACGTCGAAGGAAAAGCTGTGACGTGCTATTTTATAGCAGGCACAGGGAAAAGAAAAAGAGTTTTATATCCAACAGAGCAAAACGGACAATGATCTCGCGTATCTCCCAATCGCGTATGCTGTATGCAATGGCCTCGTGAGAAAAGAGACAGATTCCGAGTGGAAGAGGTAAAGAAATCTGCTCTACGAGTTCCGGATAAAAGGGACGATTTGCAAACTTACTTTGCCCGGTGGCAAATATTAAACATCCCCTATCTCTGCTCCGTTGGTGATTGCCTGGTAAACAAAGGTGGTGGCTTATCATTTATAAAGACCTAGCCGGTAATTCGCAGATTTCACGAATTATGCAGCTTCTGCGGGTGAAGCGCGCAATATTTTCGTAAATATCGGCAGAATTAATTCCCTTGGTCGGTATCGAACGATTTGTATCGGATCTCGTTTATGCGCGCAAAAAATTGCGTAGAATGTACGAACAGAAAGAAGCGATATTGCGAAAAGCATCGATGTCAAGTAATTATTGATAAATATATTTAATTTAATTTCCGCTTGGAATCAACGTTTCTCACGGTGTAAGAATGCGTTAAATATGTAAAATAGCGTTCTTTTCGCTGTAGTAATTTATTTTATAAACGAGACGTATTACGAAATTAATGTATAATACGTATAATTTGCTGTTTTCATTCGAAGGCCGCAGATGAAAAACACGATAAGTCACATTTCCTGTGGTATTACAGGATTTATAGGAGAGTATTTCTAAAATTCAATACGCCGTTTACCAGTTCCACGTGAAATGAAAATATACATGTGAAATAATAAAAATATATCGAAACGGAAATTTCGAAAAGATTTCTCGGAAAATCAACGAAAAATGACAATTTTCAACGCGATTCTGTTTCGTATTTGTAAATAAATCCATACGCTCTCAACGGCTATTGATAAACAAGAAAGATAAATCTTATTTTTGATTAAAGATTCGAAAGATCGTTTTCTATCGTAAAGTTAAACAGAAAAATGTTTCTGATCGCGTAACATCCTACCATCTCTTACATAACCTGACACAACCAATAACTTGAGACAACAATTGTCAGAGTGAAAATAGAGGACTTAGCCTTGGCTTTAACGTTTCTTGCTACGTTCGCGAAACAAAAATTACCAAATTATATAAACCATGGTTACTTCCGAGTAAATCTATATCCAGCGAACAAGGGTCGAATAGACCACGGATAACCCAATCGACACAGAAAGTCGTTCGACAAACGAAAGAAGACGAAGTCTTCGATTCACAATTCCGGTAATCCGGTCAGACCGGATTCTTTCTTTCTGCGAAAGGACTATTCCAAGCTACAATCGCGGTACCATCTACCGAAGAAAAAGGATAACCAAAGCGATACCAGTCGATAACAATTATCGTTTGACCGATAGAAGTGCAAAATTTTGTTCGTCGCAGGTACATTGAGTTGCGCATAGCAAATTTAGCATGGCGATCGGTCAATTTCAATGGAGCCGATCGAAAAGAAAAAAGCACGATAAACAAATAAGCGACTGGGCGAGCGATCGAGCAAGCAAACGAATAAATAAACAGGCGTGCAAACAAGCGAGCAGACGAACAAAAATCGAAGCCGTGTGGTTGTTATTGCTACTCACAACGTTGTAAAATTGCCGACAAGAGCGACATCTAGTACGTTTTGCGAATACACAACGTCCATTTATCGTAGACTGCTTTAATACAATGTGATCGTGTGCTTGACCCTCGTGCTATGTGCTAGTCTTGATGCGGATCACGGGAGTTTGTCGCACGAACGTTTTCCTCGCGTCGCAACATTGCAAGGAATTAACTCTTTACCTTGCGCGATCATCCCAGAGGATGTTTCCTTAAAATATCAAATTTTTGTATTCGCTCGAACTTTTACATCTCAATGTTACTCTTATTGCAACAAACAGAAAGGCCTTTTACGTGTCAAGGAAACGTTTAGCGTAAAATTGGAACGAAGAATCATGCGAATGACAATTGTTTCGCATCTCGCTTGAATCTGAGATACTTTTTAACGTTAGAAGAAGGCGATTAGATCGAAATGGAACAACTGAAAAAACGTGGCAGGGTTATATAACTTTATCGATATTCTATTGGAGCGTGAGACAGTTCTGGTCGGGAGATATTTGCGATTATTGCGGCGGTGAACATGTCGAAAGAAGGAAAAGCGAGCAACGCAGCGAGTCCATGGGAAACGTTCATGAGCAGCGTAGTATCGGTTAAATAACCATCGTAAAATATTCGCGTGGTTCTGCGGGAAAAGCCGTCTGTTCGCTGCAAACCTGAACCGGATCGGCAACCAATAGTTAAGGATAAATTGACCGTTAAATCGTGTGAAATTGTTGTAACGTCTAGTTGGCCCAGTCAAAGTCAGAATAAATGAAATTAACAGAGAAGCGCTCATAATAGAAAGGACGCTATTGAGTAAACTTGGTAAGCTTGCACGAGGGTCGCTATAGTCCTAGTAGCGTACGACCATAGTTGTCCCTACAACTCTATATGTGTGCCATTTTAAGCTTACCGTTTCAAACGTTTGGCCAACGGGTGATTATATTACACGAGCGCGTAAACCCCTGGTGCGGCGAGGTCGAAGCGCATGATGCACTCGAAACAGTCGGTTCAACGCGCGCTGGCTACGTTCGTTTGATTTACAGCCTAGGTCATTGTTATCGAATCATTCCAGTCACCGACGATGCGATCGTTCGTTTTATGCGGTGATATTTTTATCGCGTTCCATGCAGATTGTATTTCCGGTGTCGAGGAGGTGTAAACACGCAAACCGTTATGCTGCAGCTGACGCGTTTGTAACGAATGTGTATCGAAAGATTTCACTTAATGGAAGAACGTACACACTCGGTTTTCGCTCTTCCTGTACCCACGTAAGCGATGAGAAAATCGACGAAGTACATCGCCATACGTTTGTTCCAATGCCTAACGTTCGTAGAAACAATAGATACTACGCTGTTGAGATGCTCCAAAGGATGATATTTTTTTTTTTTTTTTGTAGGATGTAAGATTTTTTTTATTGGCAAAAATTAAATAGAGTTTCGATCTTGCTCGATCGACAAACTTTTCTAAGACCGCCTTTTTCGATCCTGTATTTAGAAGGGACTACGTATGCGGTGGAGTGTCCTGAATCTTGCATTTGGAAAAGCGAATCTACATTTTTCTGAAGTTGTTATTACAGCTGGATAAAGGAATTTGATCTATCTGATGGACCGGTGTAAGACAGGATTAAGCGATTTATCGCGTAAAGTCCTTCCTCTTCGTAATCGACGATAAAGAAAAGGAGGATCTTTCCAATGAGGCAAACGTCTCGTTAATTCTTTTAACGAGGCATATACCAAAAATGTATAGGAGAAGAAATTCTCTAGAAATTGTTAGTACAACCGGTTACGTAGAATTAGTCCGTCTAAGGATTGGAGGGAGCACGACATTGTTAACTACTACTTATCTTCCGGTCGTTCGCCGAAATTCGTTTCATTTCAGTTTCACGATCATAGCCACCGCATTATACCTTTAACCTGCGCTTATAGCTCGCAGTCCCTCCGCAATGGGCATTATACGAGCGTATATCATCCATAATTTGTTATCCTCTATTATTCTATGCTCCCGTTTACGTTGTATTTATTTGCATAGCGTCGTTCGCATAGGTATTATACGGTTCTACGGTAAAGCTTTCCTCCGGCTCTCCTCGACTTTAGCTTTCCCTTGACTCTACTCTAACAGTAAAAAGGCAAATGGCACATTCGACGTCGGAGAAGTCCGATCGAAAAGCGACGGTTTACGTGCTGAGCTCGGTGAGGTCGTCTACCGCGATACCGTTATGTGTTAATAAAAGTGCTCGAAACGATAATCGTGCCCAAGCTGCAGCCACCAGCACGTTTTGTACTCGGCGATAAATTCGCACGGCAACTTGAATCCCTATTTGCCCCGCGAAAATGTCGCGAAGAGTCGGCAAATAATACATAAAACGAAAGCAGTCTGACGCTAACGATACTGTTTCTACTTACCTTTCGCTCATTAAGTTTGGTTGGCTGTTTTTCTGACCCTTACTACTGCCGTTTCGACGAGTTCGATGGGATACAACATAGAACAAGACGCACCTATGGCTTTCTGGGATTTCGTGCCCTATGAATTTGTTCTAGTTTTATTTATTCGTATTCTAGTTTTATTTGCACTATTATATTCGTTTGAAACGGACACAAGAAAAGAAGGAAAAAAGGCAAACGTACCGAGAGCGTGTTTACGGATACATATTCGCAAGTCTCTTTGAAAAAACTCAATGAATTTTGCCCCATGCACCGATCAGGCTCTTTCGATTATCGCCTGTTGTATTTAATTGTCAAGGCGACATGGCACACATACGCGCATAGGCGATCTATAGTATAGTACAAAAATTAATCTTGATGATGCATTAAAGAATGCGTAGAATTCTTTATTTTCTCTACAATAATAATTTCCAATTTCATGTTTATATCTAAACCTCTAAATCGTGGAACACGGAAAAATATTTCGTGTTACGTCTATCCTGTGCTTCGTCGATGAGTGCGATATCTTGTCTTTGTTTCCAGCTATACCGACTATCGCATTTGGATTGAACATATAGTAGAGTTCTATGTCGGTATGCAATGTCGGTTCTGCAATGGTCGGTATTGCAGAACATATGACACGATGTTCCGTCAAATGGTAAAATCACTTTTTATCACTTTTGACGATCGAGTGGTTCTACAAGTAGTCCTGTATACATAGAAAAATTTACTCGTTTTCTGCACAGAAGGAAATGTAGCGATAAGCCATCTTCGGACTTTCGTAAGAAACTGATATCATCGATAAGATAGATTACCGATAAGATATTTAATGCTTTCCGTTCCGCGTCCCACGATTTAAGGGTCACTTGATCTCTCGTGCCATTTTCGTATCGCATGCAACGTTATCGTTTCGATATAGCAATGGTTTGAATTCAAGCTAAATTTTTCTATAAAATTACAAATAAGGTATAGAACAGAATATTTTGCACGTGTTGTACTCTAATCGTATTATGATACAACTGATTGAAATTGCGATTTTATGCAGAACCTACCATATTTTTAGTATTAACCAATCTTAATACGTTTCGACTGCTGATATTCGCCGTCATGCTTGAAACTATTAATTTAATAAAATGATTTTCTTCCGTTCATATTTACGAAAGTTTGAGCTCCCTAAACGATAATTTTTGCACTGGGCCCTAAAATGTTTCTGCGAGGAGTTAAAAATGTTTATAATATAAAATCCGATTTTAGCAATTTCTGTATCACCAAATAAGTTTATTTTTAATTAATCTTATAAAAAAATGATTGTGATACTCTTACATTTAGATCATTACATACTAAAACAAAGAAAAATTCATTTTTCGTTTGTGTGTTGCAGGATTTCTTCTACTGCAACAGTAGGAAACTGTAACAGGAGCCACAGAATCTCCACCGCGTCAATAAAATTAATTGTAACTAGTTCTAAATAATCTTAATTAGCAATAATTCATTATATGCAACAAATTATTAATTCCTGAAAAATTGCACGAAGCACAACCATTAATTTATAGCAGTTTTAAAGATATGCTTATAATTATAAAATTAACCTTAATTGTAAAGATTATTGTATAATTCTCAAATCCAATCAACAAATGAGTTTTATAAAATGAATTCGAATGTTTTATCATTTATTCTTAAGTCTATCATTTAGTCTATTGTCATTTTTATAAGATAGAGTCAGTGAAACGTAAAAAATTCGTCGATAATATAGGTAATTATTGTCGAATCTCCTTTGATATGTTTCCTATGTTCGCCGTAGGAAATCGCAGAGGGCGTAAAAAACACTCTGATTTTTTTGCAAGTCGGTGTTTCATAACCTGAAACGCAAAGCTGCATTTAACGTCATGTCTATCCTGTCTTTAATCAATGGATACCTCACTATGCTATCGTCGATAACTAATTGATTGAACATCATTTTAACAGCAAAACAAAATACACAACTGTCAGCAAAATTATGACAATTCATAATTTATATATATTTTCCAAAAATGGAACATTACTGTATTATGCAGAATGGAATAGGTTGAATAAATCTGGAATCACAAAAGGAGAGGTATGTATGAATAACTATAACAGAATTGTTATTTTAAAGTTATAAAATATATGCCGTTTCTAACCTTCCCATGTTCAAATATCCTGTAACCTATTTTATACAAATCACTAACAATTACTTGTTTCATTCCTTTTTTAAATTAAGTCGTTTAAAAGAAGGTCTTTTGTTTTCATTTGTGTATAATCTATATAATCTTTTTTCTAAGAAATATATATACATTATAAATAATATATATACATTATAAATAAAATTGCACAAAATTTAGGAAGCAAAATTAATGTATGGAATGTTATTTTCTATAAAATCATTTGTAAGTAAAATATCGCCATTGGATCCAAAAGAAGGATTTTTATATTATAAAACTAGTAAATATACATTGCATTATTTGGAAACTCCGTCTGGATTAAAATTTGTGTTAAATACTGATAATGTTACACAAAATGCCAGAGAATTATTACAACAACTATATAGAGAGGTGAGTAACCCAATGTTGCATATTCTAGTATTATATTGCTGTAGAGTATTTTAGCAAACTAAAAATCTCCAATGATATAATTAATTCTTTTTCCAGGTCTATTTAGAATATGTTGTGAAAAATCCTCTATGTCAATTAAATGAACCTATTCAAAGTGAACTGTTTAAACTAAAAGTTGATGAATTATTTAAAAAATCTCCTTTATTCTTAAGTAGATCGATATAGAATTTTTTATATTATATTAATAAGTATAATATACTTGAATATAAAAATGTTTAGTGATGTTATACAAATTTAATTTCATATTACACGCAATTATTTGTTATCAACAACTAGTATTAATATACATTAATGGAAGTGCAAAAAACTAAACAAAAATATCATATACCACAAAAATATTCTTATAATTTAAATGAATATACAACTTACATTACATTTTGTTATATTTACGAATTTACATTTATCATAACAGAAACAACTATTTAAACAATATATTTTTGTAATACACAGAACTGTGATCTTCATACAAAATGTACAGCAATTAACAGAATTTGAAGAAATTAATACTTGTAAAAGCATCAGTTACTTTTGTAGATTCCTTTAAATTATTTGTATTAACATATTAATGCATTAAAATTGCACCGTCTTTTTTTGTATCAACGAAATGTACTTTTTAATTTGTATATTTAAATTATTATTTAAAATACGTAAAAATATTGGTAAAAATGCATACTTTTAAAAATGTTCCTACATTAAACTTGCCTTTTTATATATGTATATATTTCGTACCACATACCAGTACTCTAGAACATACTTGCAGGAATATGCCTTATTTAACTAAAACATTTATTATTATTAATATATGAAGATTATATGGCAGCTTATGTCATATTTCACAATTCGGTTTTTTTAGGTCCATGTATCCATCTTTTTTTACATATGTAATGTCTTTCATACAATTCTCGTCCGGACGTATGACATTAGCTTATCCAAATATTAGCGAAGTTATTAGTTACACACAAAAAACGTATATACTGGGACAATAATTTTACACAATTATATACACATATTTAAGTTCTGCAGAACTTAGAATAAAAAATATACGAAAGGTAAAATTGTTAAAAAATGATTACAATGTTCCTTACACTGATCGTTAGTGATTTATGTTTAACATTACATAAATGTAAATATCTATATCGGCAAGAAACCAAATCGAAGCTTTTGACATGCCTAATAAAGCACCTGATATTAACACATATAATTCACCAAGATTAATAATAAATAAATATAAACTGAAGGTAATAAACTACCATACCTCTTTTTATATTAATGTTCATTTTTTTCTCTAAAATTGCTGAATGACATTCACTGTCAAGGCATATTCATTGCCTTTAATTGTATACATTACATTATGTGTATTTTCATACATCGAAGGACATTTAGAAAATGTTCGTGTACAAAGGTTCTTATGATACTTATACATCTGAAAATATGATTGACAAATGAAAAAGTGTTTCATGCATGGAAAATAATAACTGTTGCTTGACATAAAATACAACTAAAAGGCATAATATTAATTTTTCCATAATGTTTTATACAGTTATCCTATTTTATATCAGGTGAAAATTTTATTTCTTTTGAGGAATTCCGTCATAGAAAAATTTTAACGAATTTGATACGTTTTATATGTGAGCGCTGTTTCGTGTACGAGAATGTAATTTTTTCGCATATAACAATATTCTCAAGAAAACATTGGCACAAAATGAAAATTATCCATGTTAAATTAATTTGCAACTTTTGTTTTATAAATTGAGGCCTGATTGTATATATATAGCTATACACACATACGTACATTACACATATTTATACGCACGCACTTCTGAAACATGAATGCACATACTACTTACTTCAATACGCTTCGCCATGCAAAGTTGCTCTTAATTTGTTCCCTCTATTGCATTCATAATACGTTTATACATGGTGTGCATAAATATAGTAAATTCGGCATTACTGCACGCATATGGTGTACACTTAAATACATATATACACATATACAGTAACAAACGAAAGTGTAAATGTCACACTATTCTTATAGAGAAATGATATACATCTCTTAATCAGATCACAAAAATTAGATAATTATAATTACAAATTAAATCTAGTACACAAAATATGATATCATATTTTTATTCATATTAACAACATACTATATTCAAAAAGATATATAGTTGGTCCAATTTGGTACTCTGTCAAAAGTGAATAGAAAAACAATGATTGATAAAGGAATGCAAAAATAAAAAGTCAAAGTAAGTTTAAAAGAATAAATGAAAAACAAGTCAATTTAAACAAGACGGAAAGTCCTGATTCAGAAAAAATTAGTACCTCAACAATATAGCGACCCAAAATATACGACAAATTATTAACAAATTATTTAAGTTTAAGTCAAATTTTGTTCTGGTATGAAAAATATAAATTCCATTGAAAGTTTGTGATTAATTATTAAAAGAAATCTAGCAGCATATTAAAACACCCTCTCAGGTATTCATGAGAAATAGCATAATTTAATAAATATGCCACACAAATTAAAATTATTAATAAGAAAAAACGAAAAATTAATTAAAAATTCTAATTCTAAAAACATTATCCAAGTGCAAAATTATAAATATTGCATCAAAATAATATTGCAATTAAAAACATATTGCATTCACAAAAATATAAAATTAAAAGGATCGAGGAAACATGTAGTTAAATAATTGATATTACAATTTCTAGTATAAATAATAAGCTTTGAATTAAAATTAAAATAGAAATTAATTTCAATTAATTAATATAAATGAAAAAATAAAGTTTTGTATTTTAGTTAGTTGGTTGAATTTGTAATTGTAATCGCCTAATCTTTATCAATCAGTTGAGAACTTGTATCATTTCCTTATAAGACTAGCGTGTGTACATTTTTGATTGCCACTGTATGTGAATACGCATCTGTGTGTCTTGTATTTAAAGGACGCATGTACATTATTACATAAATGCTCAGTCTTTGTTCCTTTAAGAGTGTAAATTGTCTTCCATATTATTTATGCTACAGCCTTTGTCAGAAGGCGTGAAGAAACGAGCACCGTTATTCTGTACCACTACAGGAGACGGTTCTTCTATCACCGACAATCGCTTCTCGCGATCTGTAGATGTTGTAGAATTATGGAAGAATACATTTCTCAAAGTGGCAACGTTAACCCGTTCCCACGATACATTGTCATCTGCCAAATCAGCCTTTGATTCATTGTTAGAATTCCTGAAAAAGTAAATGGACATTATACATGTAAAAATATTGTAGTTCTCAAAATCTTCTAATTAACCCAGTGCCTTGCAATATTAAAACGAGAAGATTGTAGATAATCAAGAACATCGAAAAGCAGTGAGTTAAATTTTGAAAAATCTAAATTTTGTCATACTTTGTACTCTTTTGAGTATTTGCGTCTTGTTCTGTTTCTTTAGTACGTTTAGTACGTCTTCCGGAAGTTCGACTATTCACTCCACACGTATTAACAATTCCTTCTTGATCTGCTTCAATGAAACTAACATGATCATCGAATCTGACACGTTCGGAACCTTCGTCTTCTCCACAAACGGTCCAATTACTGGAATCACTGCACTGGCGATCTAACGTCGGCTTGCGCCGAGCACGTTTCGCTAAACCAGGCGCTACTTCTTCGAGGGAACTCAAAGATGTAGCTTGACCTGCTGAATCCATATGACCTCCTGCAACAGAGCTTGTCCCTTGTTCTCCTTCTGTGCTTCTACCACCGCTGATTGAGCTTCCATCCATCTGAACAATCGATATAATTAAAATTCATAACTGAAGTACTGATCGTTTGCAATAATACTTTTAAAGAAGAGCGAGATACTTTAAAATTTAGAACAGAGCCTGCTAGAGCTCTCGTAGAAGCTGCGCCGTCATCCAAAGCAATAGATGCGTTCACAGATTTTTCTGATAAACTGGTTGCCGCAGATGCTGTTTCGCTACATAAACTGAATCGTTGGGTAGACGTCACATCCGCTTGAACCTCCAATCTATTTTTTAAATATAATAGTAACTACTAATGTGTAACTAATAATTGAAAATTGTATAAATACAAAAAGAGTCTCTTACCTCTGACCTCCTGGTAAAACACTAGAAGCTATACTTCCTGCGAGACTGGTACCAGCGACAGCTACGTTACTGGCACTTTCGCGATCGTTTTCACGACCTAATTTTTCTAAATGACTTCCACTACCTAATGAAAGGGAAGCTTCTCCTATCGAAGGATTACCGCCGCGATGACTCGCAACATCTATCGATGCTGCATCTACAATAAAGATTATGTTTTGAATTATCTAATCCTCTAAATTACTCAATCTATACTTGATGTTAAAATTTGAATTATTTAGGCATTTACCTCCACCGTTGCGGACACTCAATGAACCCATAAGCTCGTTTTCGTCATCGAAATCAAATCGCACCCCTGTACCATTTGTTGAGACACCACAACCTCCGCTTCGACAAAGAGAAACGGGGACTACACCATAAACGTAAAATAATAAAATGGGTACACCAATACCTACGGCCAATCCTGCCAATATGGGTGATACTAAAACCTGTAACGATGGTAGATAAATTATGAGTAGTGGCTCTTGTTCGAACTTTTATTGAGACTTACAGAGATTCAAATTTTATAAAGTTTCTACAAATTAAACTTAAAATCTTATGTACTATAGAATTAGTAAATTTATAATATGAGAATTTTATGTAAAAAGAAAAAAAGATAATATGAAGCAATAAAACTCTTTACTCTTGAATTTTGGGGCGGGGGACTTAATAAATAAAAAAAAAACGTATAACTATTAGATCGGAATTAATTATGAATAGATAAGTAATAATATTAAGAAAACGAAAAGATACATTTAAGTACGTAAAGTTACGCGATAAAATTGCCATTAGGTATCGGCTAACAAAAATGTAAAAGCTGCAACTGTATCGAAAACTTCGGACTGCAGTTGATCTAGTATTGTGCGGTTTTAAGCTGCCGGAAGTTTCTGTATGTACGCTGCATAATTAACACAGTAATTAAGGGAATGTTTCAGATGTACTTCACAAGTCCCTTTCAATGTATGCTCGCGAAAATAGGAAAGAACGTAAACCATTAACACGGATCGCTTTTTTAGTATAACATACTGCATTTTTATTTAATACAACTGTAAACAATCATAATGAAAGAAAAACAAAAGCAAATATAGAATTGCCTATTCAAAGGCATTTATTATTTTAATATGTTCTGCATCGTGCTTTGCATACTCTCGGGCAATTAATACACACATCACCTTCAAAAACAAAAAAACAAAAAAAAAAGAAAAGAGAGAAAAGAAAAAGCAATTTCCGATCAACCTATAATCTATGTTCTGTAAAATATAGAAAAAATAGTATGAAATACCATTGAAAGTAAAACATGGTAATAATATAAATGTATCTCGGGACAGTCGTATAAGGTAAGGTGCCATGATGAGGGAAAAGATTACTGACACACGGTGATCTGTTTTCTAGATTTCCATGGAGCATAGAAGAGAACGCGAGATAGCGGAACAGGAGACAGAGAAAGTGCATGGCGAGCAGAAAGTGTGGGAGGTGCGGAAGGAAGGATATTGATCGCCGCGACGGTAGGAGTGCGCGCATGGGAGATCCTCTCTGTCCCACCCTGCGGCCTGCATCCACCTAGGTGGCTGACGATGGAACGTGCATCGTGTCAGTCGGTACTTTAAGAACCATACTACACCACGATCGCAAAACGGTCTGACAAATCGAGTGTTGGGATCGGGAAGTCGGTCGGTGCTCTGCGCCAAGGGTGTGTCGCGCCGTGGACACTACGAGCCTCGATGAACGGGCGCCGAAGTACGCCGGCCCGAACATTCAAGGACCGAACGGCGTAACAGGAAGTAGAAGGGACACGCGACGAATCCATTCATTACTGGTGATTTCACGAAGCCTCCACATACATGACAGACTCGTGCGCTCCGATGTGAACAGTCAAATAGGCACCGTCCTGCATGTGTTACCGTTCACGAGAGTGTACATGTAGTTTATTGGCATTGATTGGGGACAGTAGACACGCGAAACGTTACAACCACGATACACATACATCCCTCATCTGTTTTTTCTTTCCCGTTTTCCTTCCATCGATCCCGCCAACACTGATATCGTCGATTGACTGTCATTAGTGTTAATCGAATAAATAAAAGGAAAGAGAGATTAAGAGACAGAGATAAAATCAGAAGAAAGGAAACCATGGCGAATTGGGACTGGGAAGACACCGACTGGGATTGGGAAGATACGGAAGAATCATCTTGCGGAGAGGAGCAGAAGCAGATTATCTCAGAACCAGAGATTGACAAGGAGTGGCTTGGTGGTATCCTAAGGGAATTTCACAAAGAACCGGTTAGTTCGGTAGAAACTATGATTTACAGTTAACAGTTGCCTGTAGCGATTTTTATACGGCGTCATTTAAGCAGCCTATAAATGCTTTGTTAGCAATGAAAATGCAACACATTTGAAGATGTAGCGTACCAAGTATTCTTGAATTGCTTGCAAATTAACCCGTCATGTACACAGGTCACAATAACCGAATGTAACGTAAGTCCGGGCTGTATGAGTAATGAAAGCGCGCTCAGTGCTATAATTCGTGTTAAAATCAAGTACGTGTTGAACGACAC